TGAAGTTAAATGAGAGAGTGATTAACATGAGTATAGGTGATTTTGTGTAGTTAATTAGAGAATGTAATAAAAATTAAATAAAAATACGTACACTACAAGAAATGTTACATATAGTGACATAAAAAATGTCACTATAAGTACAATATATGTAGGTATATGTCTATTTGACATATAGTTACACATAGTTTTAGTATTGATTTTAAATGAGATTTAACAACATATTTTGTGTGTCACTATAGCTTATACCCACACTTTTTAATAATATATCAACATATATTATAATTATTGTGTGGGTAAAAGTGATTTTAAATGATGTATAGTGTCACTATAGGGTGAATGTCATTATATGACAATTTTCTTGTAGTATACTTTAAAAATTATAAAACAAAATGATAAAAAAAATAGTAAAAAGACATATCACTTTTATTTAATATATATATATATCATTAACATTAAATGTTAAAATTAATGAAATTATACATTTAATATTTTTTATAAAATGTAAATTTAATTAATTATTGTATTTAATATTTTACTAATTATATTAAATATATAAAATTTTATATAATTTTAAATGTTCTTTTCAGGAGGTACATGGTTTGTGCCCAGCTCATTACCAACCAAACTCTAATTAGTTGTACTAGAGATTTTTTTGGCATGATATAGTATGTAATTTTATTTCAATAAATAAATAGTAAGGGGAACTATGTCAACATATGCGTGCTTTCGATAAATCGTAAGAGTAGTATGTTTCACTTACAAGGTTAGCAAAGTTATAACGCTACACTCTTCTAATTTCTCCCGTTTTCCTCATAGCTTACATGTAACCATTATCTAATTACGTGTTTTTAATTTTTTAATTATAATATTAGTAGAAATATTCATTGTCAAAAATAATAAATAATCTCCTCATGAGATTATGAGCAACATTAGATAACATAAATAATAATACCTTATCTCACTTAATTAAATTGTTTAAAATTTAAATTCTTTAAATATGAAACAGATTATGTTAGGAGTTCTTATATATAAAAGGTTATTCTTAATTGATATCTTAAGAATATTATCTAAAAAATTAATAATTAATTTTTAATTAAAAATTACAATAAAATTATACAGAAAAAATTTTCAATAATTTATTTTTTAATTTTCATGCGTTAACCATTATCTTAAGAGCATTCCTTAATTTTTTTAAATTTTATTTTGTATAATACCTTGAGCAAAAGCTTTTTATACAAATCACTTTTGATATTAAGAGAATTCATTATAACATAATTTTGTACAATTTTTTTTATATATTTAGAAATAATATCAAATTATTATTGCTAATAAAATATCTTTGTGTTAAGTATTCATTTATGGTAAAAATATATAGTGTATATTTTCTTTGAACTTTTATATATATAT